AGATGCTGTCTCAAAAAAAAGGGACTTCTTTCCGGTGGAGACTGTGAGACACAATTTTTATCAAACTCTAGGGTGCCCACCCTGCTCCTTGCTGACCCAAGTCATTCCACTGATTTAGCAAGGGGTGGGATGACATCCTTATCTAGACCTTCTGCTAACCATATCCTGTGTCTGTGCAGCAAGGCAAACATTACCCACTTTGATCTTCAGAATGAGCCTGAGCACTAGGCAGAGTATTATCTTCCCCTCTGACAAACGAGGAAATGCTTAGCATCACAGGCCCTGATCCACACTAGCGAGACTCGGATCCCTCAGCTTTCCACCAAGCCCTGCAGACACTAAAGTCTCAGGTGGTTCAGCCATCACAGAAGGAGCATTCTATGAACTGAAAGGCATTCTAAGGACCCCCTTCAAGACCAATGTCTTGTATTTGCCCTCAATGTCCGCCCCCTTCTGTGACTGTTTGCACCTGTTTGATCCCCTTCAGAATTAGGTTAGAATGATGAAACAGAGCTCTGTACCTTTAGGAGGCACTCCCTCAATAAAGATTTGTTGATGTTGGTCTCATAGTTATGTCACAATGAGGGTTACTGAAGTAGTATCTAGACACACTCCCCGAGCTGGGCCCAGGGCTGGCATTCTCAGCTTTCAGGTCTCAGCCTAAATGTCACCTCATTTTTTATCTCATTGATAAAAGTTTTGCTTAGAGAAGTCTTTCCTCACCACCCTGAACAGCTCCGTCCCATCCCCATTCTCCTTCACATTATATGGTTTATTCCCTTCACCTCACTTACACAAAAGTATTCCACGTGTGTGCGAAATTGGCTCTCTCCCTTACTAGAATTTAAGGCTCATAAAGGGAGGCACCTTGTCTGTTCTGATCTCTACTGTATCTCTAGCACCTAGCAAGTAGTAGGCACGCAAATATAATAGCAGACAGAATGAGCACTCCCCGCCAGATGTCTCTTATTAATAATACCTTGCAAGAAGAATGGGGCAGAATGTTGATAATTGTTGAAACCCAACTATTAGGTATATGGAAGTTTACTTACATCGTGTGTGTGTGTGTGTGTGTGTGTGTGTGTGTGTGTACATTTTAATATAAAAGGAAAGTTAAAAAACAAAGTGGTACACCCCTGGGATTTAACAAAGCAGAGCAGGTCTGAAGAGCAAAACTCAATAGGTCCTCCCAGGAGATCTCACTCCTTCTCCCAGGGAAGACCCAGGTCTGCCACTGCCCACCACTGTCCTTTAACTTAAAGTCGGTAAAACTGGATGTGCAGTTGAGGAAAAAAAGCCACATGTTATAGAAAAGTTCTCAGACTTTCTGCTGTGAGATCATGTGAGCAGTGAGATCACGGATATATTTGCAAAGCAGTTACATTAATGTTTTCACTTACATTTTGTGGGGACATTATGAAGTATTATCCCAACGCTTATTAGTCTCATTTAAAGCCTAACCCAAATACTTTGAGCTAGATAGAAGATTCAAACCCTAACACTGGCAAACTGAGTCTCCATTTCCTCATCTGGAAAATGAGACTACTAACCTCCTACCTGCTGGGACGATAGGAAAGTGAGTCACAGGAGGGCCCTTAACAGCGCCAAACATATGGCAGACACTGATGTTGGCTTGCTCACTCCTGGACAGCAAGCTCTGTGTCTTATCTTTTATAACCCCATGTGCTATCTAGCACAGAGCCCTGGTGCCTAATTATTTGCTAGATCTTAGAGATAAAGGTAAATGAAAGGTCAACAGACCATCAGTGGAGGACAAGTCCTTGAATCAACACTTTCAGATCAAACTGCTCTCTGCAACCACAGGCTGCTTCTCTGGCAGTTTGAAAATACTTATTTTTTTATCTCATTGACAAAAGTTTTCCATGAGCTTGGACTCATCCAACAAGTTCAGCGCAAGCAAATACTGTTTTGTTTAGTCCTACACAAGCTCCCTCCCAGATGCTTCTCACTCTCTCAACTAAGATTCTTATTCTAGAAAGTGTTTTCTCCCATTTTTGGTATTTGTTAAATTTTTTAGCACCAGCTTAACAATTTTTTGTTTCTTAAAATTAACTGTAATCAAGTCATTTAGCACTCAAACTTTTAATCTAGACTCCCAAAGATCAGAGCACAACCCACCAAGATAGGAGGGCAACAGGGTCACGCTGAGCTTGAACATAAGGTCCCCGCCTCTGGCCACTAGCCAGTGTCAGCTCTTTGAGCCTCTATGACACCAGGAACAGGCCTCTGTGACCTCCCTATGTATTTTCCAGCCATCAAAACAAAGTGTTTTGAAGCCCGAGATGAAAAGATGTGATCAAAGAAGCCAAAGGTATAGGCTGCTAAGAGAAGAAAACACGAGAGATGGTTTCCATGTGATAGGGGCAGGAAGTGTGTGGGCAGGAGGTGCTCAGGGCTGGGCTTCCCACCAAGGCAGAGAATGGCAGGGAACAGACTATGCACAGTGGTTGTGGCAAATGGCTTCCGGCCCTACCAAAGAACACAGAAAATAAAAATAAACCACCCCAGAGAGGTGTGGAGTTAGAGGCTGCAGGAAATGAATGCTAAGATGTATTAATAATTCACTCTCCATACAGCAGTACTCAAAATCAACTTGCTCAACACACTTCAACTACAACAAAACATCTAAAAATGAGAAACCCAGTGGGAGAGGGGATCCATTTCTTTAAACGGCAAGGATTAACTCCACAGATAATTAGTATCTTTTAGAGAGAAGGTGTCACTATGTTGCCTGAGCTGAAGGACAATTCACCCTCCAGCTAATTCTTGTGTACATACATATGCACTGAGAACCACAAAACAAGTCAACAGAAGTCTAAAAACAAATGAGTCACCTATAATGAACCTTTAACTAAATCTAAACCCAAGACATCAAAAGCGGTCAGTAGATTTTTGCCCTACTGCAAATGCTTAAAGGACACACCAAAGATGAATGTTTCTTGTTGATGCTAATTGACTTGGGCACAACCTCTGAGGCAATAGCTAATCTGATAAATAGCAACTTAGTATCCTATGTATCTCAAGATCATTGTGAAAAATTAAACCTGTATATTAAAGGCTCTGAAACTGTAATGTCTTCCTTGATAAAAATTACTGCTATTATTCCCAGTTTTCAGCCCGTTTATCTTAAAATCTAGATGCTTTTCTTAATTCAAAATACCCATTTCTGGCCCACCTATAATCTTAGCAATTTAGCAGGCCAAGGTAGAAGGATTCCTTGATGCCAGTAGTTCCAGACCAACCTGAGCAACACAGCAAAATCCTGTCTGTCCAAAAAAAAAGAATAGGCAAGCACGGTGGTATGCGCTTATATTTGTAGCTACTTGGGAGGCTGAGGCAGAAAGATCATTTAAACCCAAGAATTTGGGATTGCAGAGAGCTATGATTATGCCACTGAACTCCAGCCCCAGGCAACAGAGATGCTAAAAAAAAAAAAATCCCATTTCTCCAATCTAGACTAAGAAAAATCCAGAACTCTCCTGATAAAGCTCTATGACGTATGTGTATGTTTTAAAGCAAACTGAACTGTTAGTCATAATCGTGGTGAACTAGTACCCCATAGGGATGGCAAACCATGACCCACATACCCACAGCCAGTTTTTGTAAATAAAGTAATAGTGGAACATAGCTACGCCCACTTGTTTTAAGAAAAAGATTGCTGACTCCTGAGCTAAAACCGTTCTCAAACTTTATCATCAGTTAGGCAGAGAGCTATAAAGAACACAGAGGCCCAAGCTTTTCACCAAGTGCCCAAGTAATTGTGAGATACATCATAATTTGAGAATACTGCTCTAGATCACAGCTTCTCAAACTTTATAGTGTCCATACAAATCACCTTATTAAAACAAAGGTTCTGCTTCCATAGGTTTGGGGTGGGACCTAGAGTCTCCTTTTCAAATAAACTCCTAGGTTATCAGTTCTCAACCTGTGGGTCGCGACCCACAGGAACTGTATTAAAGGGCCACAGCATTAGGAAGGTTGAGAACCCCTGTCCTGTAATGTCAATACTGCTAGTCAGTGACTACACGATGAGTAGCAAGAATCCAGAGCCATGCTTCTCCAGTATGGCTGCACATTGAAATCACCTGGGTAGCCTTCTAAACTACAGATGCCACCACCCACAAAGATTTTTGTTTAATTGATATGGAGTATGACCTGGGCATTGGGGTTTTCTTTTAAAGTTCCCCAGGTGATGTTAATGTACAGCCAAGTTGGAGAACCTCACAACTCATCATCTCAGTAGTCAGCTGAGTTTAACCAGAATTCTCAACATAGCTTATTTCTCATATATGGCAACTCTATAGCACCCAAGATGGAAATAGGGCTGCTAGCATGGTCCACATAAATATGCTAGACTTCAGCCAGCAGATCTATGTCCTACCCAAGCTTTGTCATGAGCTCTGATCTAAGCAAGTCACAAACCTGAGCTTTCATTTCCTCACTTATCTAGTGAGAACTGGACTCTCTGTGATAAAAGCCAAGAATAAGAGAATATCTGTGAAGATGCTTCGGAGAATACTGTATCTTATAAGATCAACATCTATATACATCAACATACATCTACAACTCCCATTTTTTGTACTCTGCTTACATTGCCTAAGAGGTACATATTTCACTTTTTACCACTAAAGCATGTTAAACAGATAGAAATGCGGAAGCGCACAGCTCGATTTCTAACAAAGTGCTTAATGATGCAGTTCCAGGAATGGCTGTGGCATAAGAGCAGAAGCACCTGTAACAATGGAAGGATTAGTAAAGGATTACCTGCTCCAGGGGAAAGACAAAGGACTGCCATTTCCCAGGGTTGTCAGCACTGCCTTTTGTCATGAACTTCAGATACACTTAATGAAAACAAGAAGGTAACTTCACAATTGCAAGTTACCAACCCAAAAAGAGCTTAGCACAGAGGACTAAAGGGGAGAAAAAGGATTTCAAAAGCAATAAAGAATAAAAACAAAAAACAGAGCCTGAGACATAGAGAGGAGCGGCATATAGTTTTTTAATTTGGAAGGCAAAAAGTTACACTTAACAGAAGGCAGAGATCAGGTTAATAAACATTCATTACAAAGTTGTTTTGACACAGAGCGAGGGAACTTCTCTGGGCTCTCCATCTGCATACCAAGTAACAGTTGGTAGTAAGCAAAAATCTGAAGAAAATCCACGGGTCCAACAAGCGGCCATCTCAAGAACTCTTATCCAGGAAAATCAAAAGTGAACCTAAAAGAGAGAAGCAGAAAGGTAAAATGTCTTATGATATTACAGACAGGGCCTCAAATCCTTCAAGCAAAATTCTAACCCACAAGAGAGTTCAGGGGTTCCTAGACTGAGGACAGTAATTAAACCAGGCTAGAAAACCAGAATGAAGCAAATATATTTCACAGACCATTTTATGGGCACAGTGTCCAGAAAAATTAATGTTCAAACCTAAATTCCAAGCACACCAAGATAAAACTGACTAGGAACTGGGAAACCTGGGTTCTAACTCCAGCTCTATTGTTAAATAGCTGCCTGGCTTTTATATAAGTCACTCTGACCTCCTTGGACCACAAATTCTGAGGTGAGGACATTGCAGTTTACCCCAACAAGCTCTTCTGGATCAAAAATGCTTATGAAGGGCCAGGTGCAGCAGCTCACACCTGTAATCCTAGCACTCTAGGAGGCCAAGGAGGGTGGATTTCCTGAGCTCAGGAGTTCCAGACCAACCTGAGCAAGAGCAAGATCCCCGTCTCTAAAAATAGCCAGGCACTGTGGCAGGCACCAGCTACTCAGGAGGCTTGAGGTAAAGGGATCGCTTGAGCCCAAGAGGTTGAGATTGCTGTGAACTATGATGCCATGGCATTCTACTAAGGGCAAAGTAAGATTTTGTCTCAGAAAATAAATAAATACAATAAAATAAAATGTTTATGAAGCATGGATTTCTGGTTTGGGGGAGAGGAGAATAGGGGAATGAAAGACTCAAGAAACAAAGTAAATTTGGGACCAGCCTGGGCAACAGTGAAATCCTATCTCTATAAGAAATAAATAATAATAATAATAATCAGATGAGTGTAGCGGTTTCAGCTACTCAGGAAGCTAAGGAAGAAGGATCACTTTGACCCCAGGAGTTGGAGGTTGCGCCAATAACAGAGTGAGATCTTTCTTTTAAAACACAAAAACAGAGAAAAATTCCCAATCTCAGATTTCACAAATGGCCAAAATAAAAGAAAATAATTCAATTGTTATTTAAAAATCAAGTTAGTCACGCTCCACACCTGTAATCCCAGCACTTTGGAAGACCAAAGCAGGGGGATCGCTTGAGACCAGGAGTTCAAGACCAGCTTGGGCAACACAGTGAGATGCTGTCACTACAAAAAAATGAAAAATTAGCTGCTGTTAGTGTGGTGCAAGCTTGTAGTCCCAGCTACTCAGGAAGACTGATTAAGCCCACAAGTTTGAGGGTATGTGAGCTTTGACTGCACCACTGCACTACAACCTAGGAAACCAAGCGAGACTCCATCACCCAATATGAATATGAATATAAATATGTATTTAGGAAAAGGAAGGAGAATAGAGGAAGGGGAAGGAAAGGATGAAAGGAAAAGTTACTTTTAGCATGAAGAAAATGAAGAATATTTCCACAAGAAGTGGCTACCTTGCTGCTAGAGCCAGATGGAACTGGAATCTGTACACTTTGAGGTGGAACCCTCCCCAAAAGATACAGGCTTCCTTTCTAGTCCCACACCTAGAGGAGAGCTCCCCACCTAGAGGACTCCAACATGGGTGTGACCAGGAATTGACCTCTTGGCCCTGGTGCCCCAGCCCAGAGCAGCCAATTTTCCCACCAGGTGCCATAAAAATGCTATAATGTTCTATGTGTGCCGTGACTTAAAAAAGGTTGGGAAATTGTACTTTTCAGAAGAAGTGAACTACCCTGGTAGGTAAAAGGGCACCATGTTATTTCATATATTGGTTCAAATGACCTGGAGATTCTGGCATAAGAGCTTAAAGATAAGATTTTAGACTTTCGCCAGAATGCTTTTATTTCACTAACAGTGGTATTTAGAGAAATGCTACGTAATTGCAGAACATTCTTATATTAGAACTGTGAGAAATACAGTACAAAGGAAAGAGCAATAACAGGGAGCCAAAAGGGTTCCCAGTGTCAAACATGAACATACCCATTAAAACTCACCTATTAATCCCACCAAATCTCTGAACACAAACTCTCTAGCAATAGACTATGACCCAATAAAACATGTCAGTTCTAATGACCAAAGTGAGAGAGGACTACAGCAGAAGTCCATTTTCAGTGAACAAAGCTTGGACACTTTCAGAATAATAAAAGAAATCTTAATTTAGTACAAAAGTTAGGTTTTGAGATTTTATGCTATAAAAATATTTAAATCAAAGACGTCAAGACCAGACCATGTAGAAGGCAAAAACGACCCCTGATAGTTAAGACTCTGAAAGTGGTTTTTGGAAAATCCTGTTCACAAAAATCTATTCCCTTCTTTTAAGGCATATAGATATTTACTAGACACTATTCTAAAAGCAGATATTCTAAGATTCTTTGAAATATTTGCTCACAAAACGGGACCATTCAACAGCTCAGAAGAATGGTTTCAACTGTTAACCAGGGCAAAAAGGTTTCAGGAAACAGACTAATAATCTCCTCCCCTGATATCAAAACATGCGAAATGGAAGACACCTACTGAGAAAAGTTAGCATGACTTCTTCAGTCTATTTCACCCATGCAGAAAGACAGCTCCATTTGATCAGTCAGTTCTAATCATCTTAGAAACAAGCAAGGCACAACACAAAGAACTGTTAAAAATAATTACTCTCTGCATAGATAGGAAAGATAATGCCAGACAGGGTCATTTCTATTCAGAATCTATATTCTTGTCCAGCACCATCTCTATTGAGATATGCTCAAATACTGATTTTCCTTTGAATCCATCTCATCCTGGATCCCAGTTACCCAATTAAAACTGAAATCAGAAATAATGTTGAATCATAGTCCATTCTTCAGAAATTCTAGATTCTGAGCTCAATTCTAATCACTATAATTGTAGAAGGCACAGATCATATCAAATTCTAAAACATAAAAAGAACTTTAAATATCAGTGTAATCCTCTATAGAGATGAGAAACTATAACCTGATAGTTTTGACAAATTTGTCAAAAAACAGCTGTCCAAAAACATAGCCACTAGCCACAAGCAACTATTTAAACTTAGTTAAAATTAAATAAAATTAAAAATTAAGTTCCTGGATAGGGTGCCTGTAGCTCAGTGGGTAGGGTGCCAGCCCCATATACCAAGGGTGGCAGGTTCAAACCCAACCCCAGCTAAACTACAACAAAATAAAATAGCCGGGTGTTGTGGCATGCGCCTGTGGTCCCAGCTACTCAGGAGGCTGAGGCAAGAGAATCACCTAGGCCTAGGAGTTGGAGGTTGCTGTGAGCTATGATGCCACAGCACTCTGCAGAGGGCAATAAAATGAGACTGTCTCTACAAAAGAAAAAAAAATTAAATTCCTCAGTCACTTAGCCACGTTTCAAATGTTTACTAATCTCATGTGACTGCTGGTTACCATGTTGGGCAGTACAGATCCAGAAAATTTCCACACTGCAGAAAATTCTATTGGACAGCACTGTATCAGGTCACCCTCAATAGACAAGAGTCAGGTCTCCTGCTCTGTATTCTCCGTTTCTCCTGGACCACAATATGGACAGCCAACTGTGCAGAAACATTTGAGATAGCCTGTCTTCTTCCTATGTTATCATCATCTTCCAAATTTTTCCCATTTAGAAAAGAAAATCAAGTTTAATATTTTTAATGAAAACCATCTATGGAGAGAAAGATGTATACAGTCATCACCTCAAAGTCCTAAACATAACAGACAGGAAGAAACATAAAAGTTTGGAGTTCAAATGTCTGTTATCGAGTTCCCACTTGATCATTTATTAGTTCCAGGATCTGGACAAGTCAACTTGGTAATTTCTCCAAGGCTTAATTACCTCAGGTGTAAAATGGGAATGCTACTATTTGTCTACCTCCATCACAAGGAGGTGCTAAGGATCACATGAGTTAATGTATATAAAAGCAAGCATGGAATTATGTGAATCCTGGAAGCCTGGTAATAACTGTACAACATTTTATAAATGTAGTTTAATTTTGTAATAGGCCTATACAAATACTGCACATTTTATTATCAACAGTGTCACATTTTCTAACTTTCTACTTCCTGTGAATAGATAATGGAAATCTGAGAATATGAATAAAAAGCAACAATTAAAGAGTGGGGGAAAGTATCCACAGAAATAGTACAATACTCTTCAAACACAATAGGGACCACCGTGAATTATACTGAGAGACTTTAATAGCTGCAAGAGACACTGATGAACATACAGGCCCATCCCCTCACGGTGCAGACAGAGAGAGTGAGGCTCATAGATCGGCTTATCCGTCCGTTCAACTTATTAACAGAGCCAAAGCTACAAGGCAAGTCTTCCAACTTCTCATCTCATGCTCTTCCTTCCCCCACAGTCTCCAGCATAAACCTTCTCCTTGGCTTTCTCTCCCACAGCATTTTCTTTTTTTTTTTTTCTTTCATTTTTTTTTCTTACTTATACATGTGTATATTATAAAATCCCACAGCATTTCCACATGTCTTAGCATCCAAGTAACTAATGATATAACTATTTTTCTTGAAGTTAAAGATTCATACACTCATTCAACAAACATGAAGGTGCCTACCCTTGGGGAACTTGAGAGTCCATTGGGAGAGACATACAAATGAACAGATAGTTTCATAACAATATGGTAGGCACAATATGGTGTGCTAGAGGTATACACAGTAGACCCTGAGAGCCCAGAGAAGAGGCTCCTATTTCAAAGGGGGAGAGGAGATGACTTGAAGTAGGAGTCACGTGAGCTGGAAGGATAGAGAAAACAAGGCAAGGAGTTAAGGCAGCAATGAAATTCATAAACACAAATCTACTTTTGAAAACACACACACATCTACTTGACATTCTCTCTCTTGCTTTTTTTTTTTTTGACACAGCGTTTGTCACCCCCAGTAGAGTGCCCTGATATCATAGCTCACAGTAACCTCAGTCTTGGACTCAAGTGATCCTCTTGCCTCAGCCTCCCAAGTAAGTAGGACTACAGACATCTGTAATAACACCAGGATTAAAATGGTCTAAAACACCATTTTTAGAGATGGGCGTTATCAC